GTTTGTATTATGTAATGTATATTATTTAGTTCTCTCATACCTCTATCGGAGGAAGCAAAGGGAAATAAATTATTATTACTATTATACAAACAAGCATCTACCCATGAGCCTTTGCGTTTTAGCGTGTGTTGTTATCGTCGCTTTGGACTCAATTCCCGCGCGTGTGCAGGTGACGAGCCTCCTGCTTTAAACATTACATGTTCATGAGATGCACTCTATTCCGGGGCTTGGAAGTCAGTCCTTGCCCTGGGTAAGGAAGCATTCGGGAGGATACTGTGGTATGTTACGTGTATGTAAATGACAGGCGTCAGTTTTACAACCCACAGTGTACTGTACGAGTTAAGTTACCTGCGATCTCTACATCTGATCCTACCCAGAAATAAGTTGCCGTTCGCAAGCCTTGGTTTTCAGCAGTAACCCAAATCTAATAATCAGATCAGACATTTTGTAACGTAGCCATGGTAACCAAAGTATGTGAGTGAAAGAGACTTCTGTGTTGTGATTATTTCATGCAAACATTGCTGCATAACATTAACAGGTGTTTTTACTACAGTAACACATTTTATACATGCAAACTTTATATTCATGTGGCTATTCTACTTACCGGTTCTCCTCCCCACCATCTCGATTTTCTGGACTCTGCGTTGCCAATACTGAATACCGTCCTAAAATTTGGATCGTACATGTTATTAGCCACAATTCCATGAGATTCTGGATACAGGCCCTATGCGAAAAGAACAATTACATTGGAAGGTGTGACTATTGTATGTTTTACACATACCGTGTACGTAATTAGGCTGACAATTAAATTCATTAGTGATACTGTCACCTCCATAATGATTCGAACACCAACACAGCAACATTGCCAGCTGAGTTGCTGACTCGTTAGCTCATTTTGCGCGTCTCGATGTCGTTACATGATAATAACTGTTACTTCAAACTACTTTTACGAGTGCGCTGTTCGGCTACTGAGATGTGCTCTTTTACGAACTTTATGACACGCACCATCAATTGTGTCCTGGCCCAACTTCAAATCGCGTAACGATCTCCAGGCGGGCATGGCAAACCGGTCGACAACTAAGCTGGCAATGTTGCTTTTTTGTGTTCGGAGCAGTGTGGCGGTGACAATGACGTCCCGGAATGACGTATAGCTGGTACCAACAAGAGTATATTACGTCAAAGTAAGAGATGTTGTGTTGTAATTACCGTAGCGATACTGTAATGATTCGGAAACGTGTCAGTCGGGAACACCGCCCTCATGAATGGTGCATGGCTTCCACAATTTGCTGTAACACAGTACAATACAAATCATCTCTTAATACGTTAATACGAGCAGTTTATCTACACACTGGCAAATTGGCAGCTCTGATTGACTGGTCACTAATCATAGTCCCAGTTAATGTAATTAATGTCGTCATCTACATACAAAGCTGATGAAATTTCACGATAGCTTCACTGTCAACCAGCGTGTGTATCTTTTTCGCTCGAGTAATTTTCGAGGAAACTTCAAGAGTTTACGTAACGGCAAGTGCCGCCAGATACAACGCTATCACGTCGCCAAAATATAAAATCGCGCATTCTATCTGCGTATACCGCGTAGCGCTTTAGAAAGCTGTGTTTGTCGACATTTTACTTCAATATTTGAAGTTAGTCACATTTTGGGTCTCACACAAACGACAAAGAGGCTGGACCCAAAACACGGCGGTCTGGGATGATCTTTAAAATACTGTTTGATTCAAACACTTACCTAATTTTTCGATATTTGGTGTCAAACCCCGAAGTAAGTAGTCAGCGCGAAAACCATCCAAGGACAATAACAGCAGGGGACGTTTTTCATACCTTAAAACAAACAAAATGACCATTATTAAAAGTATAACTGTGTTGTTGTACACCATTTACATAAATTGTGCCCTCTAGTGACGAAACGCTTCAATGGGATTTAACTATATTCTACAGGATTAATACTACACAACCAAACACATATTTGAACTATGTTATCTTCACCTTTACGTTATTTTGATGTCACGTGATCATTCTATCACCAGGGGGCGTAATTTATAGGAATGTATTAGTGTGATTTATTGGGTTGAAGGGCGGTAATCGTTGCGCCACGCATGCGCGAAATACATGGGCAGATCAAGCACAGATCAAGGAGTTCAAACTAAGACGTTACCCATATTTAATTAGGTATTTTTCAGGTGACTGGAATGTATCGAAGGTGTCACCGGCGTTAATTAGTGCAAGACGCGCCTAAGTTAAACCTCATAATTGTGATATCTATTGAATTGTGGGAGAATCAACACAAATGTCGCACATGCGCAGCGCGACGACTACCGCCCTTCAATTGATATTTCAAAAATTGTTAAAGTACATACTGGTTACACAATACTGGTTACTTTGGTTTAAATAACATATGTGAAATATTATGTACAAATAAAAAGTAGTACCCCGTTGGACATTGTGGCTGTTCTTCATCATTACACGGAGCGTCTAACCATGAATCATAGGTTGTGCCTATAATGAATGATATGAAATATATTCACATATTAATGTAAAACAGTTTGCTTTTAGTAAATCATTTCTCAAGCATATCTCAAAGGTAAATTTACTAAGTTGGTCCATACAGGTGGGTTAGATCTAGGGTGTACTTCTACAAGAAGGTGATATGGTTCGCAGCAATGGTTTATGGGTACATTTCAATCGCTGCTGACAGCAATATTTATCATTATATCACACCATTCTTTGCAGCAATAATTTATGGGTAAAATTTCAATCGCTGCTGACAGCCATATTTATCATATTACGCCATTCTTTGCAGCAATGGTTTATGGGTAAAGATATATTTGACCATTTTTCAAATTAAAACTCACAATATGGAGTTTATTGATGAGTAAGCCAAATCTTAATCAGCAAGTGATTGAACAAATAGTATAATGTGAATAATGTGAATTTTATTTGGGGTTTGAACCATTAGGGTGTAAAGTCAAATTCTTATAGCTTGATACAGTGTAATGTATCTAACTGATATTTGATCAGCATGCACTTAGAAGAATAATCGTCACATTTTGAGAATAAAAGGTTTCAATCCATCATATAATTTTACTGTGTATTTGTATATAATTAATGTTGAAAATGCCAGTAAAGTTGATTGTCATATTGTAGAGTAAATGCCTTGGGTGCATATGTTCAACTGAGTGTGTCTATTACCTGGTCACGTGGTTTCATTATTTATGCACATATCTAATTTCCATATTTGCTGCAGATATGCATTTACTAACTGCATATTGTATATGGATAAAGAGATTTGGATCATGTGACCTCGTTAATTATATTAATATCTAATTCAGAGAGATATATTGAACAAATACATTTACTACTAATCAGATATTGTTCAAATAATTACAGCAATTTGAATTAAATTGGCTATTTGATCTGACTAATTAAGCACATATCTATTTATATACTGCTGATATACATTTACTACGCCTATCGATTGTTGCTGTTCGCAGTTATATATGTCTGTTTTATCTTGGAATGAAGAATATAGTATTATTTATCGTCAAATAAAAATGTTTACCGATCTATGGGTATGAGTTGAAAATGGATATATCGGTTTTTATACTGTATGTCTGTATGAACGAATGTACTGTTGATAAACTATCCCTATACCAGAATAACTATTCAACATACTGGGTGAATCCGTGGCATCTAGGATTGGTCCACTTTGCTCTGATTTCTTGCCTATAGCATATCCAATACCAATGCCAATACCAATGAATACAAAGAGCAATACGACCTACAAATCGAAGAGAAAATACACTTTTATATCTCATCACTTTTTTGAATATTGAACAACACTATGATACTTCTTTTAACACTATGATAACAACTTTCCGTTCACGATATTGTTAAATTCTTTCGCTTTTTTGATAGAAAAATCCTGAAAAAACTGTACGATCAATTATTAGGCTTACCCCACTGAAGAGGGACGTCTTACTTGAATGTTGGAGTAATAGTATTTTACCATACGGTATGGTCTGGTCTATCATATTAACCCACATACATACAGATATATACGTAATGCGAATCCAAGATTTCATAATTGCTTCACAATAATACTTACCATGAGTAATATCCATCTCACCAATGATCTCTATGAGGATAGTAAAAATAGTAATACGAAATATATAATGTTAATAATGAATATGACGCTTGAATTCCACATCAGCAGTTTACACTATCCAACCGAGCTTTCAAATCTACCTTCACGTTGAACACTGTACGATGCGTATAAACTGTACGTGCAAAGTGTAACACTGAGGACACAACCCAATCCGGGATAGATAATCTGAGCCACGAACGTGCGTACAAGCGAATGCTAGTATCAACATGAATTACGTGAGCAACCTACGTTATTTCATTCGTTCATACGTACACAAAACTGATAAATCCCTCAGACGAAAACAGAAATAAGATATATATTTGATGAGAAGGTTTGTGATAAATAATAAACAGACATTGTCCTCCAGATAATACGGTTTGAATTTCCCCAAATCAAGCAAATTTGGGTTATCTGTCATGAATTAGTTTTCGCGTATCTGTTGACCGACTTAATTAGCTGATTATTAGCTGAATGGCTGTGTTATGTCTGTCATCGTTTAGGCCTATTTGAAGTTTTGGACGGAACTCGACTCAGTGATTTGAAA